ATGGGCAATTATTTTGGGTGGAGGGCCACTTACTGAGTTTTGGCAAGGCATCAAGGGCCACATGGCAGGCAGCCCAGGGCAGATTAATATTAATTTTCTAAATTTTTTAGGGGGCCCCACGGACTGAATAGAGTGGCTTGGCAGGCTGCATCCAGCCCTCAGGCTGCATTTTGCCCACCCCTGCTCTAACTCCAGGCCCAAAGTCACACAGAGCTGGTTAGCAGAGACTGGGGACATGGATCAAAAGAACACTGGACAGTTAAAAGGCCTCTCTGAAGAGGGGAAGATGGGAGTTCAGACACAGAAACAGATCTGTGGAAGCATCTGAGCAAGAATAAGGCCTGCCAAAACATCCAGAGAAATGCCAGCCATAAGGGAACTCAACACATATAGAAAATGTTTGTTCTCTAAAATGCTTTAAAATCTAAAAGAAAAAAACAAAATCAAAAACAAGACGACTTTTTGGTAATAAGAGGAAAGATAACTGGAGATTCTGAACATAAGCATCAGCCCAGGTTGATTTAATCATGGTTAGCATATGGGAGCTGAAGAAAATGGCTTAGTCAGACAGAGATTCATATTAATTCCACTCAAAGACCCATTAAGGCTCAAGGCCTGAGACTTCCTAAGAGGGGATGCACACAGCCCAACAACTGACAGCATAAAGCCTAATTCTGACCATCAAGTACAAAAGGACAAACAAAAACTCACATTGCACAAGAATCAAAGTATTTGAGCTATTTCTCCTAGTTACTGCAGGGCAGGGCTTGTACCTATTACTAGAGTTAATTTTGGGGTTACAGATTGACAGCTATAACATTCACAACTGTTATGTATTGTTAATTTAAAACTTAACAAAAGATTAAGTTAGCAAAGTGACCTAAAGTTAACTTGCAAGTTTCTTGTGAGTTAATATTAACTCTTTTTACACACAAGTAAATTATGCACAAATATAGATAGTCAAACCTGCAAGGAGCAAACAGACCATCTAAAGAGACAGCTTTTCACTTTGAAAATTTTTGTTCATGTGTTTCTGCAATGCAATATGATAGAATCTCTATCAGGTGACTTAGGTGACAGGCTATAAGAATGTGATTTATTTAATATTTGTTTTTCGCTACCTCAAACTAATTTATCACTACCTTGCTAAAAACACTAATTTGGAAAACAGAAACCCTGCATTAACTATTCTTGGCATGGGCAGTTTTTGTTCCAGTTCTAGTTTGCTAGATTTTATTCTGCTTCAGATAGTCAGAGATTAGCTAACTTCACTGTGTATGTGTTTCCTGCCTTCTATTTTCTGTTTGCAGCCTAAACAGAGAGGTCCTTTGCCCAACTGAATTTAAACAAAAGAGATGTTTTAAGAACTAGAAGACTAAAGAGCCTGATCAGAGTTAACCAATGTTTCATTACGGAGAAAGTGATTTCTTTACAGAGTTTGAAATAATTTTTGTAAGGTTATTTTCATTTAATTTATAAGTGTAGATCAATAAAATTCCTCATCTTCTCATATTTTTGCATAGGAGAAGTCTGGTTTTAGACATTGGGATTAAACTGAGTCAGTGACCTCCCTAGAAATCACTACTGTCTAACGCAGAGGTGTCAAACATACAGCCTGTAAGATGGATCCAGCCCATTGAGGTGGGTCATGTGGCAATTAAGATTGCTCCTGGCAGGGAGCAGAAGTGGCAGCAGCATTAACTCCTGGGCTCCCTGGATACTGAAACAGCAACTCTGACAGCTGCAGGGCTGCTGCAGCCCATGGGTTTTCTAGAGCCTGTGAAGCCTCCCACCTAGGGGCCAACACTCCTAGCCTAATGAGTTAGGCATGGACAATGAAACTAGGATTTATCTAAATGATAAAAAAGTGTTTTTTTTAAAAAACAAGCATCTAACACATAAAACGCTTCTTACTATCATGTGTAGACCCTAGTTTAAAACCTCAGGTTTAACCTCAACTAACAATCTTTAAACATATGAACTGCAAAAGGATTATTAAATGCAAGCACAGTGTTTTCTTCCCTCCAGTGAAGACATACTTTGTAACATGTCAAAGTCAGAAAAGAAAATAATTGTTCAGAAAGAAACTTAATAATGTGACATTAGTTTAAAGTAACTATAGCCAGTTTCACAACTCTTTATATCTGAAGTTAATAATTTTCAGAAATAAAGCTGAGGATGGAAGGTTTGTGTAGAATGCAGGCAAGTAATTTAGCTGTTCATTTTCATTCCTATTGCTAAAAATTAAGACCACTTATGAACTTTTTGAACCACTGAATTCATGTGATCATATTTGCTGCAAGCATAAAACAGTAATATATTCTTTAAGAGGGTATTTATGGTGAAAATGAGAGTGTAGAGGGAAGGCTAAGAAAATGAGTAAATCACTTGTTTCTTTGTATGAACTGGGTTTTCAAAGTCAACACACTTACATGGCTCTACTTCACACAGCCCCTGCTTACATTTCCTTTTTCATGCACAGTTCTAGCGTCAGTCCAATTTACCATCAAACATTTCCATGCATTTTTCCAGGCTGACCTCTACATTTGGGAGGCCCTCTTCAAACCATACTGCCAGCCACTGCCTGTCTCACTAGAGTGACCCCTAAAAGTTCATTTCTGCCTCATGTTCTTCTCCCTTGTTTGCATCCAAAACAAGGGAAAAGAAAAACAAATGAGCAATGAATGGGACACACAAAGGTGTGCAAGCCTTGCAGAACTGACATAAATGATCCACAGTTAGCCCCTTATTTCCCTTGGCTTTTGGTCTTTTGTCGTTTATCACCTACGTAAGAGCAAATTTAAACTAAGGCCTTCCAAAAAAAAAAAAAAAAAAAAAAAA